TCCTCTACAGTTCTCACATCCCACCCGGATAGCGTGGATTGTTTGATCCATCTTAGTCATCCTCCTATCTAAACTATCTAGTTTAGCCATCATTGTCGCCATGCTATTGTTAACAGTGCTCACCACCCCCCTGCTTACTTCATTTTGTGGGTTATAAACTTATACTATTCTCTAGAGTGTTTAGAGAACTCCTCGATTAATTCCTTGATCACCAGGGGTGGTTTCTTGGTGAGCGGTCCTTGTGAGTCAAGAAGTTGCCTTGTAGTTACATTGACCCCATCATAAAAAATGGAGACTTCTTGTTGGATATTAAGATCATGATGTGGGCAATTCCTTAGTAGACTATTGTATCTTTCCCATGCCTCATAAAGCGACTCTCCAGATTGTTGTTCAAAATTGGCAATAGCTTTCTTCAACTTGGCTATCTTTGAAGGTGGGCAAAACTGGTCAATAAATTCTTCCTTCATCTTAGCCCATGTAGTGATGGATCCGGCGGGGGGGGGGGGGGAAGTGACTTGTGCCAATCCTTTGCAACACCCTTGAATGTAACGGGAAGCATACGAATCAGCTGGGTTTCGCGAGACACATTTGGAACATTAAAATAATCAGTTACATCATTGACTTCATCCAAGTGTTTATACGCATCTTCGTGGTCTTTTCCGTAGAAGGGGATCTCCTTGAGTTGAGCAAGTATGTGACCCTTAAGCTCAAAAGTGGCAGTCGCAGGAATTGCAGATTGCACGAGTCCCGATGTAACACTCAAAGTTTAAGCCAAATTTAAATTTTTAAAAACATGTCAAATTCATCAAAACATTACAACTTTGTTTTCAAAATACATTTATATCAGAGTTTTCCCCAGAAACATAACACAATAGGAGGAGTTGTACGATCAAGCCTTAGCCTTGCCGCGATCCCCTGAGGTACCTGAAACAATAAACTAAAACTGTAAGCCCGAGAGCTTAGTGAGTTACCCCCAAAATACCGATACACATACAATTCACATAGCAATATCAACATTAGCATATCATATCAATCAAAACAAAACAACATGCACTGGGTCTTACAAACTGGACTACCCCTGGGCCCTCAGTACGAGTCTGGAATGCCTACCGGGCCCTCAACTCATATCTGGAATGCCATCGAGCCCTCAGTACGAGTCTGGAATGCCTACCGGGCCCTCAGCTCGTATGTGGAATGCTCTCGAGTCCTCAGTATGAGTCTGGAATGCCTACCAGGCCCTCAGCTCATATCTGACTCTCGGGTTTGTGGGCTACCGCACAGAGCAGTACAACCTCAACCCACCCCACATAACATGTCGACATGTAACAGATAAATGCACATACAGGTAATCAATCAGTATCACAGGCAATCCTATAGATATACCCGACTTGCATATCAACTGGCATACATTACTAACTTAACTCAACATATCAATGACTACTAGTATATCAAATCCAATGGGCCAGCCTTGGTGCCTTAGACCCCTTAGTGTAGTGAGGATAACTCACCTCGCAACTGTCGTCGGAAATAAGAAAGCTCAACTCCCGGGTCCAACACGAACTTCACCACCTAAAAGTACCACACAACCTTTTTATAAATCTCCCAATCCCAGGAACCCACAGAATTCAATTGGTCAACCCCCTGGTCCAATTCAAGGTCCACAATCAGAGTCAACAGTCCATGTTGACTTGACTCGCCGAGTGTAGGTCTGCGACTCGCCGAGTTTTCTACCACTCGCCGAGTTCAAGGCAATCTTCAACGAACTCGCCGAGTTGTTCATCCAACTCGCTGAGTTTATGGCCATCTTCAACGGACTCGCCGAGTCCCTTAATCAACTCGCCGAGTCCATGCAGATCTTAATCCATGCAACTGCTTTTTAAGCCATGGCAAGGCCCCAAATTACAGATCCAAGCTCCTAAGGCACGTTAATTACGTAAAGTTGCAATCTTTACGTACATACAAGGCTCTAAAGACCCGAAATGATCAATCTAAGCTCTTTAATGGAGTTTTACACCTTGGGAGAGTCTCAACCTTGCACAATCTGGGAACTTTATGGATCTAGAGGTCAAGGGAAGTCCAGATCTAAAGTTATAACTTCAGGTCTTAGCTTAAACATGGAGAGTCCTTCATAGCACCCATCTAAGGGAGGTTCAAAGTGAAAAGAGCCTAAGGGAATAGCTTATTACCTTCCAGAGAGTGATGGCTGATGCAATCCCTTAGCTTTTCCCGAGTTCCTGGCCTTGCTCTTCCTTTCTTCTTCAATTGCTTCCTTCCAAAGTCACTCCTTCAAGCTTGGACACCAAACACACACACACACACACGTTTTAGGGTTTGAGAAGGAGACAAGAGGCATAAGGGGAGGCTGGTGGAGGCCAATAACCCTTTAAATAGGGTGTAAAACCCCAGAATTTAGGGTTTCATCTTCCAGCTCCTACTCGCCGAGTCTCTTGGTGGACTCGCCGAGTAGGTCACTAAACACGCGATCCAATCCACTGCTACTCGGCGAGTAGGGCAACCAACTCACCGAGTAGGACATAATACCAATTATTCTTTAATTAAATTTATACTTGAAATCGGGACGTTACACCCGGGCCCGTATCATCTCGTATCATCGTCTTCCATTTGCCCATGGGAACTTCATCGATGTTCGCCATGGTGTTGTCAAAGTCACCTTTTGATCGCTTTCCTCTTCGTATTCGGTTTCGTAGTCGTATTCGAATTCTGCTTCTTTTGGGTTGTCTTCAATATCCTCTAACTTGCTTTCTTCGCTCTTTCGACTGCTGGTGTCTCATAGCTTCTTGTTCTTTTCCTTCCCAAAAACCGTCTTCAAGCTAGTCAAAGGTGACTTCTTAGGTGTATTTGAGCTTTCAACGTCCTTGCCTTTGTTTTTCCTCAAAACGAATTCTAGGTCTTCAAAAGGGGGAACCAAGGGTGTGTTGGTTCCTCTGGTCATGAAAGTCCTACAAACAAAACAAAAGAAATGCGTAAAAAGAACAAAAATAAAATAAAACTAAAAACTGTGAAACAACTATGGACTCGCCGAGTCGCTTCGACTGCACTCGGCTAGTTCAAGGCAAAAACAAAAAAAATTCTAATTAAATTTATAAAACAGAAAACTATTAAAACTAATCCTAATAACTAAATTACCTAAAAATAACTTTATGCAAGATAAATCTCACACAAAGAATCGATAAAACTAGAAATTAGTGCTAATTTTTGAACCGTTCCCCGACAACGGCAACAAAAACTTGATGTGTGTGAACTCAACTAGTTTTAATCCTACTTTTAATTATATGAGATAAGCAATTAAGAGATGTTCATTATTCTTAGGCATGTGGTATTGTGTTCACATAAATTATATGAGATAAGCAATTAAGAGATGTTCATGCAGCTTAATCACTTAGCAATTAACAGAAAATAGTTATGGTAAATGCATAAGGGTCTTTAACAAGCTTAATTTAACAATATCACAAACTAACAATTAATCAAAAAGAGTAAATTAAACCATAGGAGCAAAATTGTTTCCCCCAAACAGAAACTAACGAAATTAGTTCATGATTTAAGTATATGAAAGCTTAAAAACAAATTCAAACAAACCTAACATAATTGTATTCAAAGGTAAAGTGGAAAATTAAACCTAAGGTTCCTTAATCTCTTAAGAATGAAGGATTAGGGTTCTTCAACGTTTTCCAGAGCTCCAAGGGTTTCCTTAATCACCAAGTGTTCCACCAAAAATTCTAGAGAGGTCTTCAATTCGAGTTTGTGAAGTCTATTTATAGTTTTCTCAAAACAGTGGCTACTCGCCAAGTCCAGTGACCTACTCGGCGAGTTCATCACTTAAAACCCGTGTACGGAAAGGATTCCACATATTGCTTCGCGAACCCTCGCATCTACTCATCGAGTAGACGACCCTACTCGGCGAGTAGCTTCAGAATTAAGCTTTTTTTTTTTTCTTCTTTCTTTCGTTCCCGAGCTTTCGTTCATATATCCCGCTTCCTTTTGCTTCCGAGCTTTTTTTTTGGATTGAAAAATTAATTTGAACAATATTAAGTATCTTTTATCCATAATATGCAATTAATAAGCCAATAAATGATAAAAATCCAACATAAAAATATAGCTAAATATGCCAATATCACCAAGCATACCCAGAAATCCATGTCTCTCTCTTCATGAGTCAAATATAATATCTCAATATCATGTGGAGTATGTTTACACAAATATTAGTTGTGAAAAACCTCATACACACATGCTCAAAACCGATCTACATAATCGATTACAGTCCTCTCAGATACCTTTAAGTACTCGTCGGATGCATCAAATGTTATGCCATATCCCAAATACCTAAGTGCAGCCGCATATTTTTGTATACTAGAAAAAACCTATTATTCCTCTAGCATCGAGTTTTTGTTTGAAAAAATCATAACGGACCTCTAAAGCATTACTAATACGTAAAAATATAGTTTTATTCTAATGGAAACGACGTTCGAACGAGTTCTCATTGTAAAGACAATTACCAGCAAAGTAATCATGTACCAATAAGTCGTGTGCGGCTTGACGATCACGATTAACGACTGCTCTCAAATGTGCAACATTTGAAATTTCTTCATCGTGAAAATGTTGCACAACGTTGGAGAAGGTTGAGATGAATTCTCCATCATCATCCGAGTCGAAATCTTTAAAGCAATCCATGTGTTTTTTGGCTTAGAGAACGAGAGTGTAAAATTTGATGAGAAGTGATTGTTTTATTTTGTTTATATAGGTATTGAGTTTGTAAAGAAAAAAAAATAAAAAATAAAAGCTATAAAAAATGACCGTTGAACGGTCGAATCTAAGCCTCGAAATTCAATTGGTCGTCCGCCTCCGTCGTAGCCACCACGAATAGTCACGACCACGACTCACAACTACACACTAGGACGGTGTGCATGATCATGGTTCGTACAGATCCATTTGTGCTTTGTATACCTTTTAACCTTAGACCATTTGTTATATTCTCAACGACAATGGTCATGGATAGCTTCCAAGATCGGTCACCACAACCTATCACAAAGCCATGGAGTACCCTCCACGACCACAAACAAAAGAACGAAGAGAGAGCCAGAGGGAGACGAAGAAGAAGCCATGATTGGGCGTTGTCTCTCGTCGTATGCATCACGAACCACCACGAAAACACCCGACCACGAATGGTCGGGGTAGTGTGCACGAAAAACGCTCGTGACCACATAGATCACGAGCCGGTTTGTCTTGGATATACCGGATAATCGTATTAAACTTGAACCATTTAACGGGTTATTGGACAAGTATGAAAAGATTATTGGGTTGGAAGTGCCCAGTCCAATCAGCCAATTCCATTGATAAGATGATGGGCCTGTGAAACAAAAAGAGGCTCTAAACTCTAGAGGCATCCATTTCCCCTTGCCCTAATCAAGAATATAAAAAGAACCAGATTTGAGGCACCGATCAACATTGGAAACTGAATTCTCTATAAAATTTCGCACAAAATTTCTCTTTCATTTCCTCAAGATTTTTTTGGTATGATCTTCGTTTGTTTTGTAGAATCTTGATTATTCAATCTCAAATCGGTTCTTTCGCTTTTTTGTATTCGATCAAAACCCTAATTCGATCTGCTCATCGATTGTTGTTTTACAGTTGATTTCATAGTCTCGATCGCCATGGCCAAAAGTTCATTCAAATTGGAACATCCTCTTGGTACTCTCCCAATCCTTGTATTTTTTTATCGCATCTAAAATCATATTTTCGTGCTTATAGTAATTAGAAATCGAAGTGTTTTCTGTTGATTGGGTGGTTTGATCTGTATGATCTTGGACTCTCGTTCGTCGCGTAGATAGAATTACTCGAATTCTTGTTTCTCTAATCGTAGCTTTTCACATGGTAGCTTTTGATCATTCATTAGGGTTTGCGTAGATCTACTTTTTTACTCGTTTTAAAATGAATTGAGAATCGTTTAAGTTTCTTATGCCGATCTGCGAATTAATGCTGTTTGATTACGTTAGTATATATACATCTGCATCGCAAATTATGTGATGTAACTCTTTTTTTTCAGAGAGGCGCCAAGCTGAAGCTGCTCGTATTAGGGAAAAGTATCCTGACAGAATTCCGGTATGACATATGATCTTCTCATATGGTGAACATTCTTGATATGTATCTGTATGCTATTTTCTCATTATTGCTATATGTTGCAGGTTATTGTAGAGAAGGCTGAACGAAGCGACATACCAGACATTGACAAGAAAAAGTTAGTCATCTCTTTGTCTCAATTCAACTATCCTCACATTTCTTTTTTATGTTTTTTGATATTTTTTTTAACTCAAAACGCAATTCTTTATTTTAACAGAAGTCTTATATGATTGCAGGTATCTTGTTCCTGCTGATCTCACAGTGGGGCAGTTTGTGTATGTGGTTAGAAAGAGGATCAAGCTGAGTGCTGAGAAGGCCATCTTTATCTTTGTGAAGAACATTCTGCCTCCTACTGGTTAGTAAATTTACGTGTTTCAAGTAGTATGTGTTTTTGTTGTAATGTGATTTGATAATAATAAGTATAATATATGTTTACAGCTGCAATGATGTCTGCAATCTATGAAGAAAACAAAGATGAGGATGGATTCCTGTACATGACATACAGTGGGGAGAACACGTTTGGATTGGTCTGAAGCTGTTAAGTGGTTCTGAATGTAAATACGAAGAAGGTGATGGATGAATGTGTACATTCTTTTATCAATGGTGCATGCTCTGTTTGATTTCATATCTTACTCTCTCTTAGTGACTCTAATCTTGTGAACGAGATCCAAATAGTATATAAGACAATGAATGGTATCTGCATGGAATCAAGTTGAGAAGTTTAATATGTGTTTGAAGCTTCTATATTTTCCTGCCGTTTTAGATTTGTTTGATATGGTGTTAATATAAAATTACAAGCCAATCGTGTTATTAATTTTTTTTTTTTTGATATTATAAAAACCATGTCTAAAAAGTTTGTGTTTGAAGCTTCTATATAAAGAAAAAATAATTAAAATAAGAGAGATTAAATGTAATAAAAAAACTAAAAATAATAACGATGTTATGACGTCTTGGTTGGTTTCTTGCATATAAAATTAAATAAACATAGAACTAATAACACAAAAAGAAAAAATAAAATATTGATGACTAGTTTTATATGATTTCGTGGATAGAAGTCCTTATACTCAGCTTTCAAGTCCCCACTATGTAATCTGACTGTTTTTATTAAACATAATAATAATAATGTTGCGACTGTTTTTATTAAAGATAATAATGTTTGCACAAATAATTTGGTGATTCTATAAAAAATAAATAAATGAGAGAGAGAGACCAAATTAAAATTCAATCTCGTTTGAGTGAGATTGATAAAGATATGGATAATGGCCAAGGTTCTAGAGAAATTAATAAAATAACTTACTTGATGCAATGTATGCATGTCACGTGATGTCGCTAAAAAGTAAAAATAAAAGGCGTTGAGGTTGATAGAAAATAATAAGGGATCGTTTGGTTCGTTGGAATTGGAAGGAATTGAAATTTAATTTCATCACTTTTTTTGTTTGGTTCAAGTTTTGAGAAAGAATTGGATTCCTAAATGTCTCTAACTTTCATTCCAATGAGGGAAAATAAACTCCATCTAAAATATGAGACAATTCAAATTCCTTCAACTGGGAATGTTAAAGATTACCATACTACTTTTTCATTTTTAACATTAAATATGAGAAAAATTCGTCACTACTCTTGATCATCTCCACCACTACCCACCATCTCTACTACCATCCACCACCTTCACTACCACCTCGGCCACCCACCCACCTCCACCACCAACATCATTAACCATCACCACTGATGTTGTCGCCACTTCCACCCACCACTACCACAACTTCCGTTACCACCCACCACCACCATCACCATCGCCAACACCACTACTACCACCACCGTCACCACCACCACCACCACTCATAACCTTTGTTACCACCTACACCACCATCCTACTACTGTCGTTGTTACTACTAAATCTATCATCACCACCACCACCGTCGCCACCACCCGCACCCACCACCACCACCGACACCAGTAAACCCACCGCCACAACCACCACTACCTCTACCATCAACACTAATGATGTCACTACTACCACCATTTCCACCTTTGTCACCACCACACACTGCCGCCATCACCACCACCGTCGCTTCTACCACCATCGCCGATGCCACCACCACCATTTACTATTTTTATAATTTATATAATATATATTTACATATAATTATAAAACAAAGTAAAAGTAAGCAAAAACCAACAAGGGTATTTCTGTCATTTTACACTATTCCAATTCCATTTTCCGCCAACTAAACAAAATATAAAGTTGGATTCAAATTCCATTTACTGTTAACCAAAACAGAAAATTGAATTGGATTCCAATTCAAGACAAATTCCAATTCCTTAACATATTCCAATTCCTTCGAAAACATTCTGCAAACCAAACACCGCCTAAGTTTTTTCATGAAATCTTATGAGAAAAAAAAAGACGTCAAAGGCGATAAAATGTGTGAAAGAAGAAGCTGAGTGGATCACATATCCGTCATTGGTGAAACACGAGTAGCTCGATTTTTACAAGATGAAGTTTGATGACTTTGATGGTGTCAACTTCATCTCTAGAAGCTTTCAGTTGTGTTGGTTGTCTTCGGCCCTAATTAATGAACTGGATTCTTGGATTTCGATAAGGAGTTAAGACATGTGATGTGGTCTAGCGTAAGTGACAAGACTCCAAGTGCAAACAACTTTACGTTGCTTTTGTTAAAAGATATTGGGAATACAAGGTAAACTATATGAGATGCCTTATTGATTCTATAACCATTCCTTACAAAGGTTCGGACGTTTGTTGGTCAAAGCTGATCCCATTGAAGGTAAAGTGTTTTGTTTAGCAAGCTCGGATGGGATATATACTGGTGGCTGTCTCATTGGCTGATAGAGGTGTTCGAAACTCAAATCAATTGTGTTCACTCTGTAATTAAAGTCTAGAAACAGTTGAACACCTCTTGCTTCACTGTGAGTTCGTCCAAATAATCCATCAATGGATCTTCAATTAAACTTCACAAACATCTCACACCCCGCTCCCGAAAACCAAGTAAGCTTATTGACCCTTCTATTTTGGGAGAGTTGACAAATTAGTCCCTTAAAGTTGTTTGGTGGATTGGTGAGTACACTGGGCGTACTGAGGCGTACACCGCGCGTACTCACTCGCTTAAATTGAACGCGGGCTTGCCCGGGTACGTTGGGCATACCCAGGGGTTACGCTGGGAGTAGCTAGCCCAGATAGCACCAGAGTGACCCTGTGCTTTAGCTGGTGTGTGTGTTTTAAGGTTGAAGTTATCTTTTCAAGGTGAAGAAGGAGAAGAAGGAGCCATTACTGGAGCTAGAAGTTGAAGAACAAGTGTAGATCCGAGTTCTACAGTGGTTGGAGATCCCTTCTAAGGTAAAAAGCTCAAAGTTTTCCTTGTTCTTCATAAGTTTTGCTTTTTGGACCATTTTTAGGGTTTTGGTTCAAAGTTGGAGACTTTGTGTGCAAAGAGTCTCCATGAGCTTAGATCTGACCTTTTCTAATGTATATTGTGTTGAGGATTCATAAAAATCCAGTCTTGGATGTGGATCTTGTGTCATGCATGAGTTATAGTCTCATTATGGAAAGAGGAAAGGTGTTTTGAGCACAAAGTGACCTTTACAGCCATGCAAAGGCTTAAAGGTTTCAACTTTATGGATTAAGTCATATTAGAGGAATTAGATCTGAATTTTGAATGCAAGCCTTACCCGATTAAGACCTGAATGAGATGGATAAGGAAACTAGGTATTACGCTGGGCGTAATTCCAGTACGCGCGGCGTAAGGGGCCGCGTACCCCGATTCTGTGAAGGCTCCGGGTACGCCCAGCGTACACGTTTGGTACGCGCAGCGTAACCCGGAGGGTTGACTTTTGTTGACTTTTAAGGTTTGGTCACTTTAGTGTAATTGAGCCATGTAAGGGGTAAAATGGTCTTTTACCTTCCTAAGAGTGATTAGAGTGAATGGTTTAGCCTTGGGAAATGTGTTGATGTTGAGTGTTATTTCATATGATTAGGCGGAGGCTAGATCTTATCCCACAGAGTCCGAGATTTCCAAGATTTACGAGTTACCGAGCTACACGAGGTGAGTCTTCTCACTATACGTTACCTAGAGTGGTATTTATGTGGACCGGAAGGACTTATGTGTTATGTATGAGATTATGTGAATCTATGTGCTATGTGATATTTGTATGTTATATGATTGTGTAGACCGGACCGGAAGATCCAACGATACAGACCGGACCAGAGGGTCCAACAATTTAGACCGGGCCGGAGGGCCCCAACGAGCTACAGGACTGGAGGGTCCCGCTGAGACACATCGACCGGAGGGTTGTACATTAGCCTCGAGTGGTGTATGTGTTGTATGTGGTATTTTGGGGAACTCACTAAGCATTTATGCTTATAGTTGTTGTGTTATGTGTTTCAGGTACTAGCGAGGACCATGGAAAGGCGCCAGCGTGACCCGTACACACTAGAGAAGGGATTTGATTTTGTGATCTTGGGATATGTTATGTTTTGATAACTATTGGTGAATACTTTTGAGAATATTTTTAAATAAATTTGGGTGTTGAATAATGAAAATTTTGTTTTGAAACTCTCATCGTTACAAGTTGGTATCAGAGCCTTGGTTTGAGGGACTCGGATGCACACCCGAGAGCAGTGGGGTCAGCGACATCATGGTTGGGACACGACACACACCCGAGAGCAGTGGGGTCAGCGACGAGGAGATCCGTCGATTGATTCATGAGGAGGTGGCTATTGCCATCCGGGCTGAGATTCCAGAGATGTTCGGGGACATCAAGACCACACTGATTGAGACCTTTGACGAGCGGTATGCAACGGTGACTGAGGTTGCAGCTGCTGAAGCTACTGCTGCTGCCAGACCTCAGGGAGGTGACTCGTTGTTGTTTCGGGAGTTCAGCAACACGAAGCCACGAGAGTTCAATGGGACGCAGGACCTGATTGCTGCGATGAGATGGATCTCTGACATTGAGGGATGTTTCTATATGTGTTCTTGTCCAGAACACTTGAGGGTGCAGTTCGCTCTGAACCAGTTCCGCTTGGGAGCGAAGGATTGGTGGAAGTTCGTGACAGCAAGCTTCACTTTGGCAAAGATTTTTGAGGTAATCTGGGAGAGGTTCACCGCCATGTTCAAAGATGAGTATGTTCCCCCGGTGGAGAGGGAATAGGTGATTCAGGAGTTCTTGACCCTCGAGCAGGGTACTGATTATGTTATAGTTATTACCAGGAAGTTTCACGAGAGGGCGATGTTTTGCCCTGAGCAGGTGTCTACTGAGCAGGCTCGCATCAGCCGGTATCTGAGTGTTTTGAGGAGAGATATTCAGGAGTTCGTGGCGATATCGACTTACCAAACATTTGCTGAGCTCTAGGAAAATGCCCGGAAGAGGGAGATTGAGTTGGAGACTCAGGCCAGAGAGGAGGCCGAGTCACAGAGGATGGATCGGCGGCTGGCTCAGTCTCAGCCGGCAGCCAAGCGAGCTTAGCCCGCTAATTCGAGATCTGGGAGCGTGAAGGGCCGCACTTGTGGGAAGTGCCGAAAGAGTCACGAGGGGTCGTGCCGGGAAGGAGTATGCTACAAGTACGGGAAGGAGGGGCATATCGTGAGGGATTGCCCCAAGGGATTTTCGGTTTGCTTCCATTGCAACCAGATCGGCCATCGGAAGGCCGAGTGCCCTCAACTACAACAGGGATCTGTGCCTGCGGCTAGGGCTACCGAGGTTCGGCCAGTGAAGGCCGAGGCGTTAAAGGCTCGTGGGAGGGCCTTTCAGTTGATGGCGGAGGAGGTCCGCGCAGCACCCGACGTTGTGGTCGGTATGTATTCTTCTCTCTATTTATTTGAGTATGAGATATTATGCTTATATTATGTTATGCGTAGGTACTTTTCTTGTGAATTTAGTTGCTGCCCTAG